AAAAAGTCTCCTGTTGGGTGGGGGTACACGCCAATCAGAATCGATATATATATATATATATATATATATATATATCACGTCAGTGGTTCAAGGTCTATGCTTACTGCCGAACAAACGTCATTTATTTCCTTTCCTTTTGTGAAAAAATAATGGGAACGGATGGAGAAAGGATCTAGCTAACTACAAACGCTCCTAGATGCCTGCACTTCAAGTATACAAACAAACGTCATTTATTTCTAAGCCTTTTGTGAAAAAATAATGGGAACGGATGGAGAAAGGATCTAGCTAACTACAAACGCAGATGCCTGCCCTTACTGCCGAACAAACGTCATTTATTTCTAAGCCTTTTGTGAAAAAATAATGGGAACGGATGGAGAAAGGATCTAGCTAACTACAAACGCTCCTAGATGCCTGCACTTCAAGACACTTATACAAACAATCTGGATAGAAACCGACAACAGGAACGTCATTGTGATCGATTAGAAGCCACTTCTTGCATGTTCCCCACCCCATCCTGAAAGGCGAGTTGCGCTGATAGTACTCAGACATATGCTTCTGTCACTCTGGAATAGCAAATATTCGGGCAAACGATGATTCGGCAGTTGGGATATGACTGGACCAAAACTACTTTAATGTTGGCCATATTCTTCCAACAACCAACTTCTTTAAATTTGCTTCTTGTAGAGAAGTTACAATCAGCCTACACTAGCTGTGGTTGTGGGACGAAGTGTATGGGGTTTAGAGCTGAGGATGATGATGACGATGAGGTGATGAGCCTAAGACAACAGTAGTCGAAGAACTTTGCCACGTAGGAAGACCTTGAGACAACTATCCAACAAGACCAGAGAATTTCCCTTCAGTGTCCTAAGATTACCAAAGCACTGAACGGGTATGGGGGATTCCTTCGTTGTGTCTTATGCCCCTCGACGCGACGACACCTGGAGCACTATCAGACGCATATATCAGACTTGGCGAACGGAAAAACCCTGAAACAAGCAGCACAGAAATTTACACAATTTAACCGAAGTCGAAGGACTAGCGGTCCTCAACCCATACTCTCTATCGTACAGGAGGTTACGACAGGAGCTCAGAATTGCGTTCCAGATCCACACCAACTCTAATCAACTCAACCGTTCGGTGCCATCATTCACCATTATATAGGGTCACCATCTGAAGCTAGAACGTCAATGCAGTCTTCTCAATCGCCATCAACGTTGTTCTTCCCACAGTGCTAACTGCATCTGGAACACACTCAGTTCGCAAGTAGTTCCTTCTCCAGCAGTGACAACTTTTACCAAACTGACGCACAACTCAATGAGCTACGTTTGATAACTACTTTACAGCTTCTCTAACTGGTTCATCCCGACCGTATATATGCTTATACCGACGGAACACGAAAAGCAAAGGCTTTATGATATTTTTGCCATCCTAAATAAAATCAGAAAACAAGGAGGGAAATATGGACCATCTGATTAGAAAAGCCAATAAGCAATAGCGAGATTGACAAGGAAACAAACCTTTTGCGACAAACTTGGAAATGTTTGGCTCTGATACGGGAAGGAGTTGTCGTCCACAATGTGCCAATGCAACACGTTCAATTTGTTGTACGCCATCGCCTCCTTATTTGCGAACAATAATGTAAAGGAAAGAATAAGCCGAGGTGTAAGGCCAGGAACACCAGTTTGGAATCAGATAGCACAGGGATACAGCCGAAACCATCAGTGAATTCTAACAAATAACAGTAGAGGCCGTCCAGCTGTGACGTTTTTCCGTGTCTAGTTGCCATGCCACCCAAACAAACCATGGTAGCTGAGATAGTGCCGGGTTGCCCAAGTCTAGAAAGAGCAGTGGAGACGCGAAGGGTGCGACCGAACCATGAACCTCCTGGTCAATAAGTTTACACATCACCAGCTGAGTTACCTAAAGCTCTGCACGCGGAAAGGGCTTTTATCTGAAATAAGATAATCTGTTCAGTACAAAATATAATCAATAACTAAAACAGTAAAATATTACTAGCACATGAGAAGTAGTATAGCCCAGGGGCATGAAAGACGTACGACGGGAAGAATCACAGCAGAACTTTAGGCATAGTTAACGAATGGGATCTCTATAATATTCGGTCATTGTAGTTCAAGAACACGATGCAAAGGTCCGAAACCGACACTACCATCATCAAGAAACAAAGCTAACATTCACCCACAATAATGTTACACACATATCGCAACCAGAGGATAAGCTACTTGGATAAATCTTCGCCAGGAACACAAATCACAGCAACCAGCTTCATCTACATCAAGCCAGACTCTAGGGCTAATTCATCACCAAAGTCATCACTCCAGTCATTTATCTTCGATAATAACTTCCAACCCTAACACGGGTCACACTACGCAAAAAAACGATCGTGATTGTCTCGTGATTTATGCAGGAAAATTATCACGCTGCATGTATTTTCCAACGCTTAGTTGTGTCCAGGCTAAATGTACAAAGTAGAAGTGAGTTACAGCCTAAAGTTCAAAAAAACTTTTTGACGTGGGCATCTAAGTACTGCGGATTGAAACTAGGCCAGTGTGATTGAGATGAAGACTTAAAATTAAGGCTTCAAATCTGCCTCGGCAAACTATAACGTCTCAGTGTAAAACAGGACGATCGACAGCACACTGGTTACGTGAGAATGATTTGCATGAACTTGGATTTGTGAATAAAACTGTTTAACTAGTGGGAACGAGGAATAGACGTAATAGGCTACTCATATGGCCGCTGAAAATTCTTCGGCAGCCCATGACAGGTTTCACCCTACTTGGGGCTCATCAGGTAGGCGCAGTCCCCGAGGTCCCGTTCTACTTGAACCCAAATTGCACCAAATTAGCGAAATACACTCATTTGTAAACCGATTCGGTTTTTGCGAGAGACTCACTTGAAACCCAGCTGGATCTCTTTTATGATTTTATAATTTTTTTATTTTTTTTAAATTTTTTAAGTAAATGAATACGCTGCATTAGGCC